CTGAAAACCTGAAAGGGAGGCTTGGGAAAAAAAGGGTATCCTGGTGGACTGAAAACCCGAAAGGGCGGTCCAGGAAAAAGTTAGGAAATTAAAGCATATGACTATGTCCCATTGGATCACCTTACAGACAACCTTCAGTATCGACTGACAAACTCAAACGGTTTTAATCAATCCAATCAGCTTCGGACAAAGCAACAAGTGGATGAGACGCTCAGAGACATGAAGGCTATAGCAGAGTGGGGACCCCATGGGATTATTTCACATAGCTGTCTTTTCTTTGTATCAAGTTTTCATTTTCTACGACGACATTCTCTTACTAGGATGCTCGTCTCTTTGTACAAAAATACTTATTCAAGTTAATACAAATATATTCCTTTAAAAGTGCAAAACTATCAGTTTTTCTTTTATTTTCCTGATTTGTTTGCAAAAATGTCCAATGATTAATTTTGAACATATGCATTTGAACGTGATTACTATTTACAAATGAGCGCAAAAAAGAGGGGAACAGAAAACAGAAAGACAATTACTAATGGCTTTAAGAAATAGGATAATATCTATAGGCCATTCCATAAAATCCCCGCAGGTGCTTTTTCCAGCAGGAGCAGAAGCAAGGACATCCTACTACAGGATCAATAGCGTATCTCCAGTATGCAGCCTAATGGTATCAGGTGCTCTCACATCCCCGACGGAGCAAAACTTCTAGTTACCGCTCCAAAGATTCCCCAGTGAAAGTCGTCCAGCTTCTCAGGATTCCCCAGCAGGACTTCACGAAGTCCACAAGAAATGCACGACGTTTCCCTTCCCCAATAGAGTTTATTTCTATAATAATGGAAACTCATCCATCAACACTTCAACTTCAAAATATGCAGACTTACACTCCTCGTTCCCAGCAGTACTCAGGGATTTATTTTTCCTGAGTCCTATAACACTGCAGCAGAACAATTAACATGTTCATACATTGCATTCATATGTCATAGCATTGACAACACAAACGCATATAGCACAATCTCATGCCATGCATTTCATACATCATGGCATCGCATACAACTAAATCTTCACCTTTTCAGGAAAGATCAATCAACAGAAAATTATCATCAACAAATTTCCGATAGGACAACTATTTGCAAACAAATCAATTACAGATCAATTCATGAGAAAGGACTGGTTGACAATCTACATAACAAATATTTCCTTCAGACCTCTGTCGGTTCAGTTTAAATCTCTCAACGGTTTATCCTGATTCTTTTTTGCAGATATTTTCTCTGGTTCAGATAAATCGCTCCAAGATTTATTCTGATTCTTCTCCAGACCCCTGTTGGTTCAGTTTAAATCTCTCAACGGTTTATCCTGATTCTTTCCTGCAGACATCTTCTCTGGTTCAGATAAATTGCTCCAAGATTTATTCTGATTCTTCTCCAGACCCCTGTTGGTTCAGTTTAAATCTCTCAATGGTTTATCCCGATTCTTTCCAAATAGACATTTTCTCTGGTTCAGATAAGTTGCTACAAGATTTATTCTGATTCTTCTCTAGACCCCTACTGGTTCAGTTTAAATCTCTCAACAACTTATTCTAATTCTTTCCTACAAACATCTTCTCTGGTAAAGATAAATCACTTCAAGATTTATTCTGATTCTTCTCCAGACCCCTGCTGGTTCAGTTTAAATCTCTCAATGGTTTATCTTGATTCTTTCCTAGTAGACACTTTCTCTGGTTCAGATAAATTGCTCAAAGTTCTATTCTGATTCTCTCCAGTTAAAGAATACCCAAGACCTATTTTGGTTTAGTTTAAACCTCTCAACGTTTTATCCTGATACTTTCCAAATAGACATTTTCTCTGGTTCAGATAAATCGCTCCAAGATTTATTCTGATTCTTTCCAGTTTAACAACATTCAAGACTTCTACTAGTTTCAATTTAAATCGACCAAAGGTTTATTCTGATTCTTTTCCAGTTGAAGTCAAGTTCAGATTTAGTCTAATTTCTGTCAACAATAACCTTTGGATGGCATCTATAAGCCTATCTCCGACAACTCTCCATCATTTCTCCAAATGGCATCTTTAAGCCCATTACCTACACAATCAACCAACAGATCACCAAGTGCAAATTTTTGGGCACTCTAGTGTTCAATCATCTTCCACTTTCAAGCTACGAACGACAAACATGTTGATCTCACTTTTCAAGTTTAAGAAGATAGAACAGGGGAAGCTGTTGTACCCTAAAATTTACCCTCCTGTTTTCATTCAAGATACTATCCTAGGATTTCTCGAATACTCAATTTGGATCAAAAGATGATCAGAAAGATTCTCTTCCTAGGAAGTAAGTCAACAATTAGGGTTAGTTATTTCCCAAAGAAATTTGAGTCTCCAATGTTTCAAATGGTCTTCATAGATCTTCATGTCTCCTTGAGGATGTTTTTGCAAAGTTTCAAACCTCGCATTGCAAGTTCGCCCAGTCAATGGTTCAAATGATTGAAAATGACTCCATTGACCCAAAAGTCGATCTTTGCAAGATCAAGTTCAAACGATTGTAACTTCTTCATTAATCGATATTTTTGAGCGGTTCTGTTTGCATATGACTCTCATTGATGTCATCTACAATTTCTCTTCACAAGTCAAGAGCTGATTATGTGTGAAAGATCATCGAAAATTCGAATATTTTAGAGGTCACTTTCTGGTTCTGACCTAATTTCAGATAATTGTAGCTTGCCTTCCAAGAGTCGTAATGTCCTCAATTTTTAAGATCTCGAGACGATTAATTTTGCACATTGTCATGAGCGATGTCATAAACAAGTCCTCTTTAAGAATCTAAGGAAATTGCGTTTAAAATACCTTGGAGATTATCAATTTGTCATAGGTCATTTTCTTGGTTTAGAATGTTTTCAACTTCTAATTGTTTTCTCAAAGGCTATGATTCTCATGTTGAGACTGTCCATAGAACGAGATGTTAAATTCAGAGATTCATATTGAGTTCGAACAAGATGTTGCTTATAATACAAGTTGCCATGTTGAAAATAGATTTATGATCTTGGTAAAAGTGATTTGAGGATTCATTTGAATAATGTTCTTGATTAGCGAAGAATTACACGATATCACAAGTTTTGTCCAAATCTTTTACAGTTCATCCGCGTGAGTTGTTTTAAATTCAAGGTGTCAAAGAAAGAGTTCGCTCAAGTTTGCTCAAATTCATTCGAACTTTGGAATGCAAACATGATTAAAGTTATGCTTTGATTCATGGTTTATCTAAGTCACAATTCTCATGAACCAAATCAAATTGGAGAACCTAATTCAAAGTTCATGGCTATTCGTATATTCTCAAGCGCGTCATTTTTCAAATGCAAGACTTTTTCTTAAGTCGCTTTGGAATTTAAGATTATTCAAGTTTATTCAAGAATTCAAGATTTACAACAAGGCGCATTTTTATTTGAATACATTTTATAAGTCTCCAAGTCTTAAAATTCAAATTACAAATCGAAACCGCAATGTTACAAAAGTCGCAATAATACAAAATTCCTAAAGAATTGATTTTTCATCATCTTCAAGTCTTCATAAAGCACGGGAGGCCGCTCTTCACCATTTTTATCCATTGTCCAAATTGTTTGTACATGTAACAAAAGAAAGAAAAGTTATCTACATGTGAAAATTCAAAAACTAATTGTTAAGAGTTTTTATCTAATCATTAGAGTTTGCATTTTGGAATCAGAAATTAAGAGGATTTTTTAATCATGGTTTATCTCCTCCTACTTTTGCAAATCATAAAAAAAGTGTGGATTTATTTTGGTTCACAAACAGGGAAAAGACATCAGGGAAAAAATGCAAAACAACAAGCAAAAGCAGTAGGCAGCAACAAGCAAGTCAACAAGGCAGCAACAACATAAAACAAGCAAGGCAACAACAACACAAAACAAACAAGGCAGTAGGATAACAAATAGCCAAAACCCCATGTCATCATTTTCCTAATCTATGCAAACTCTTCAGAATTTTTTGAAAAAGTAAAATTGCTTTGTATTATAGAAAGATGAAGAGGGAAAGAGAAAGAGACAGAAAGATATCACCTAAGCATGTAAAGAAAAGTAGCCTGCTACAGACCAGCAAAACAGTCCAAAACCTGCATAAATTTGCATCAAAATAGACATGCCCTAACCTGTACTCAAAAGGCAGCAAATCAGCATACCAAAATTATTCAAAAACTCATTAATTTTCCCCCCCTAAACCCACTGCTGTTGTATATAAAATAGTGCAACCCTGTATGAAAAAAAAGAAGAGAATACAAAGATTCAACAAGTAAACAACAAAAAATTCAAGGAGAGAAAACTCAGCAAGAAAGAAAATTCAAGGAGAGAAAAACTTACTGTTTGAAGCTCCATCGGAGATATTCCGATAGGTATTTTTCTTCTCCTCTATTACTTCGGCACAACTCCTTCATATGTACATTCATGTCTGTTGAATTCATTTGCATATGCTTGAATCACTGTTTTTTTTTCTACAACCTGTTATAATAAAAACAGAACCATATGATTCATACATAACAACTCAATGGCAATAACAACTGATCCATAAAATAACCTCTTCCAACAGACCTGTTAACAGTCATAAAAAAACATAGAAACAAAAATCATATCCTCATAAAACTAGTATTACTAATTACTGTCACACACAAAACACATTACAAATATTTTTTCTCAAAGTAACTTTAAACTTCTCTTTGTCATACATGACCATCAATTCAAAAATAAGTTCATTAACCTGCCACCTGCAAAAAACCATTCTAATCACAAACCACAAAGTCAACCATACCCAATTCAACCATTCACATCATCAATCCACCATATACACCATTGATCTACACATTCCAAACTTATATAACTTACCTTCATCAACAAATTCACAAGTCAACAACATAATTATCCCAACACCAAAAAAAATGTTTAGAACAGAAACAAGGGGAGAATCAAAATAAGAAAAATTCCCAATATAAAATCAAACTCAGAACCACTCCAAATCATGTTAGGAAACTGTACAACGCGCCATACAACTCCACTTTCTCCTCCGTCACATCCGTCGCCGCCTCGTCTAGTGCCTCCCTCCCTGACGAACAGAACATCGGTAGCCTTGTCATCTCTGGTTCCTTAAGCGGCCGGTCACGCTATTCGGTGAAGACGACAATGCGAGACTCAATCAACTCAAGTTTGTTCTTAAAGATGGATTATTCGAAGTTGATAGTGATATGACAGAGGGACAAACGATTATTTTTCTTGAGAGATATCGCGGAGTTGAGCAAACGGCAGAAGACAGGGATTGTGAGTGATAGGAAGAGGCAGAAGGCTGAGGATGGTGCTACTGAGGATTATTACAGAGAAGTTGTTTTCGATGAAGGTGATGATGTTGAAGAGGAAGATTTTGGTTTGGAGAGAAAGCGTTGTTTATTTTCTTCTTTTTTGTTTTTTACAGTATCAATAACCATGCTTAATAATTTCAATCTAGGAAACCAAAGTTTCTCTTTAACAATAATAATTATTTAATCTTCAATTTGTCTTCCCCGTGACCAAAGCTACAGTACCGCGGCGCCTAATAGCTTTAGGGTTAAGTTTATTTTCCTTGTTCCCCTTCATCAAAATCGGGCCAGCCCATTGGGCTGCTGGCCCAATCCAATTAGAATTTTTCTTTATGTTTTAATTAAGTCATATTAATAATGAATGAAACAGAATAGCGTAGTGGTTGGAGTGTTGGTTTGCAAGCGTGGTGTTCAGAGTTCGAATCCTGGAGGGTGTTTTGTTTCTTTTTCTGTATTTTTTCTTAAACACATACTTTCCCTTATTTTTAACCAATAACTTTGGGCTTTACAATTCTTTTCTGGCCCATCCAGATTTCTACCTCACACACCCATAGTCAGTTTAACACCACCATTTTACTTTATTTTGTTAAGTTTTGATTTTATTTTTCTAATTTAATAAATCATGTAGTTTTGTTCGATAATTTTCTTAATTAGCTTAGTTCTAAATTTAATTTAGGAAAATTTGTGAATAATTTTATTAATTAACATTTTATCACTTAGTTAATATTTTATTAATTTATTTAGTTTCTACATAATAAAAAAATACTAAAATCTAAAAAATATATACATTTGATTTAATTTCTTTAGTTAAATATTTTCTTTAATAGAATAGAATTTTATTTTTCTTTCCAAAATTTTCAAGCAAATACCTAGAATTTTATTTCCATATTTTTACTTTGTTAATTAATTTTTACTTCATAGTTTTGTTGTAGTTTCAATTAATTGCTCGATTTGATTTGGTTGTATTGATTGCCTATTTGGACTTTAAATCGCATTGATTCATCCCCATTTGGGAATTTGTACCCCCATTCCCGAAAGCTCTGTAATAACGTAGATTTTAACTTTCGCAATTTACTATTTTCCTTATACTGTATAGTAATTAAGCGTGAATGGAAAGATTTAAAATCAATCGCTAGATAATCCTAATCAAAGAAAAATTAACTTGAATCTAACACACTTTTCACACGCGCACCTCTAGGGTAACCTTAATTGTTGCCTCAGAAATACAGTCATGTCCCTCGAATACGGGATGCTTTAGCAAAAACCCTTCGATAAAAAAGATCGTAGTCCCTCGATGTCTCTAAGTGCTGCCTTCGGAAAAACGATTTGGTCCCTTACAAAAAATTGCTAAAGCGTCTCACCAGTTTCATTCTATGACTATACGATTGACCCACGCTTGTCCCTTCACATCCAACGATGGGGCTTCTTACCAAATCAATGGTAAGATAACCACATCTAAATGAGGAGGAAAAGAATATTTAAGACCTTTTGAGTAGGTAGGTTACTGTTAGTTGCTCGCTTGCTCACAACAAAAACATTTTATACACCAACACTGTCATCTTGAAACATTTTTAAAAAAACAAACACTTTGTACGCATTCTTATAGAAACGAGAACCATTACAAAGACACCTTTTCAAAATTACTTTCAAAAGACACTTTCCACAAACACTTCTTTGAAATATTTTCCAAACAAAAACTTTGTATGCGTTCTTATAGAAACGAGAACCATTACAAAGATGTTTCTAAAATACTTTCAAAACCTACACCACAAGCACACTTTCAAACAAAAGCAAGTGATCTAGCAAGAAACTAAGAGCTCGTAGATAACTACGGATGAAAAGGGTGCTAATACCTTCCCTTTTCATAACCTACCCCCCGAACTCAAGAAATAATCTCAAAGGTCTTTCCTATTCTTTTTAGCCTTTCCTTATTGGATAAAAGAAAAGTCAGTGGCGATTCTTGCTATCCGCAATAATTGAGATCAAACGCAAAAAACCAAGTCAGTTCTCCCACCAAGTTACAAGCCCCTTCGACGACATGGGCTACACCAATATGTACTTGTCTTTGAAATGGCGCACGGACTCCGGATAGGCCTTGAAAAACTTCCCGTTTCCCTGTTTGAGGGAGTCCCATCCCCACTGCCCGTCAGTTCGAATCTTCTGAATATGAAAACAGTAGAAGAACAACAGAATCATGGCCCTGATCTTTAGATAGTCGTACACTATCTGGAATGCCCGCACAAATACGCTCCCGCTCGGGTGCAACTGAGAGGGGGCCACATGCAGATGCCGAAAACGGCCACTTCAAAATCAGAGAAAGGAAGATAGAGACCCATCTCCCAGAAAACTATGTCGCACATAGGAATCTGCCTCCTGTCGTATCTTGAGCAAATCCTACTATCTTTCCCGGGGATGTATAACAACCACTCCTCTCGGGCCCCCTCCTCGTGCACATAAACATCGGTGAACACGTCTTCCCCGTGCTCGTAAAAGTATGACCACCACTCCCAAGGGTACTTAGCTACCCAATATCGATGATCCTCGTCATCTAGAGGAGGATATAGGCCTCCCCGCGCCAAAGAGGTCGCCCCTACGTCGAGATCCCCCATCTGTTGATCCACCAGGTTTTGTCGTTCCTCAAAAATTTATAATATGCTCGATGAGCTGCCACTGGTCTCGCTCGAAGAGCTCCTAGAAGATTCTGTGGATTCGCTCGAAATAACAACATGTGCGTCATCAGCCATAGCACCTGAAAAGCAGAGGAAAAGGGTGAGCTCGACATCAATTCCATAACCATCCTTCCACTGCTAAACATGTGAAAGGACGCTGGGAGACGAGGATCCTATCCCCGACCAGAACCCTCACTGAGGCGCGCTGTCGAGTAAAAAACACAAAAATAATCCAGGACTCCGCTAAGGTATTCTAACGGGCACATGTTGCAGAAAATAATCAAACCCTAAATGAATCACCTATAGCACGCCGTCGGGCCCCCGAGAGAGCTCCACGACAGCTCCGACAACCATGCACCGCGAGAACGACGTCCGCCACCTAGGGTCTCTAATGATCTCCTCCCTAACGGAACCCTAAATCCTAACCGCATGGATATCTAAGAAGCAAAAAACAAAAGCGCTAAAACATGCAACAATGGAGAAACGGAAACTCACCGAAAGAAGAAGAAGAGACGAAGCTGGATAACCGCGATCGAAGAAATTGAGCAAATGCTGGTGGTCAACTGTCGAGCTAATACGAGAAGTTGAAGAAGAAAGCAAAAAATACTAATCGCCACGTTCCTCTCGTATTTATAGCTGAAACGATCTGCGTGTATAAAACACGCCCCTTGGGAACCCTAGAGTCGTCATCATGACACCCTAGCCCTAGGCCATCATTGACGCCGCTTGACCGACACGTTTTCTAAAACACTCTACTTCTCCAAATTAAATGGTCCCGACGGTAAACGTTTTGCCTCCCCGACAAAGAAGTACAACGGGCAAACGCCCATTCCCCATCATCCGGGCAGACATCAAAGTTTTCGCTCCTGTGCCCAGAAGCAACGACTTGGGGGGCTACTGTTCTGGACTGGCCCAACAGCTTGATTGGGCTCAGTCTAGGAAATCTCATAAGCTTCAACCGATGGTCGTTGCCCAGTCCAATATCGCACGTGTCAGGCAATGCCTCCCCTCTTGCCCTTCTGGCCCAAGACTAACCCAAGATGCCCTTCGAGCATCTCCTCAGCCTGCCCGACACCAACATCGTGCGGGACTCCAAGAACCGATTAGTGGGATGCCCATAACCAGCTCTCCCTCGGGACCAACGATTATTTACGTGCACATCTGCCCGGTTTGACCAAGTCCTAACAGTTACCTGATTTTCTGGACCCGCGTATCTAGGTGGGAAATTAGGAACTAATGGCCACGCGCCAGGGGCATTATATAAACCCTCACACCTGTGAGGGCCAGGTATCATATACTCACTACTCATTACCTGATATTCTTCTAGTACCTCCTTGCTCCCACTCTTACTTGATCGTTGGAGTACCTTGCAGCTACAACCCCCTCTCTCCTCTACCCGACTGAAGATCATCCTCCGGCCACTCTCCAGGTTATGGTCAACCGTAAGATCACCTTATATGAGACATACTATCTTTTACCCATATTTGGAAGCTCACTGAGATCGTAGTATTTCATCCCACTCAATTGATCATTTTCAGGTATAAACTTTGTCTTCCAACTCTACAGCGTCGAATCACAATAAAGTATAGATATAAGATCTATTTTATAATTTTGATTTATATGTTTTGGATAGTAAAAGGTTATAAAATTTTCTTTATATATAATGTCTTAATTTATGGTCTGTTTGAATTTTAAAGTTATTAAAAAGAGTTTTAGTGAAAGTGAAGCTTCATTTCTAAAAATGTTTCCGCAATGAGAAACAAACTTTATTTACTTTCTACTTGAAATTGGGTTTTACATTGTTATTCTTTGGTTGTCATTTGACCATCGTCATGACTTTTGTTGAACTAGCGAGCCCAAACATAAGAGGGGGTGAATTATGATATTTGATTTTCAAAAACATTTTAGAAAAATTATTCATTTTCAAAAACATAATTTTAAGATGGTAGAATCAAAGATTAAGTAGGAGAAAAGATAACCTAAAGATAAATAAAAGATATGATATGGGAGCTCACACTAGAGATTATTCTAGTTTAACCTTTGAAATTCTGGTATGACAGAACTCAGATGTCCTATGACATGTTGGGACATCTGATCTGTCATAAACAAATAGGAAAGGTATCAACAATAAACAACAGTACTGAAAAAGCATAAACAACACACAAAATTGTTTACCCAGTTTGGTGTAAACCAACACCTACTCCGGGGGCAAACCAAGCAAGGGATAAATCCACTCTGATAGTATCAATTCGAAGCTAAACTCCCCCGTTTACAACTTCTCACTTAATCACTACCCTTCCTAGATTTCTATCTAAGACTCATCTAGATATGAGGCCCTCCACAAACCCTCTTCAATCACATACAACGATTAGATCAACACAATTCTGAACAAACAAAAAGACACACTTCCATCACAATCACTAACCAAAACTCTTGACTAAGACCACAACTTAGAGTTTCTTCAAAGCTTCCTCCAAGAACAACACTCAACCCATTTCTTCACAGCCTTTGAGTGAGA